CAATGGGGCTTTACCTGAGATCTATGCTGCCTTACGCGGACCGCGCTACAGGCGAGAGAACTGAGCCCAAGTTCGCACAGATCTACATCGTGGATCCGGTTATGCAAGAGCGTGCCAAGCGACGCAAAAGCATTTATGCTGATCTGGCCAACGTGGCTTTGAAGGACATCGAGGATATCATGAAGCGGTGTAATCCGTTTGCACAGCAATTTCTAAACTTCGGGGAGAAGCTGCGAGCGGAATTGGCAAAGGGTATACCCATCATGGACATTGAGTACAAGCTCCACGCGAAGCCATCCCAACCGGGAACGCACAACTTGCCCACTGTTTCCGAAGTCGGCGCCGTTGTTGTCACGGATGGTAGCGTTCCCAAGCCACGTGACTTGCTTCTCTACGCGCGGGACCATCAACTGTTGCGTCTATTTGAGACCGACGAGAAGTACGATCCTCTTCAGTATCCTCTGCTGTTTCCCTACGGTGACCTATCCGAACCTGTACGCAGACGGAGCCCTATACCGGAAGAAACGGAAGATGGCTTTGCGCGAACACACAGCTTTTCGGTTGTTCCAGAAGGATCGCGATGAATCGGCTCTTTTCCAAGGTGGGCGGCTTTTCCAGCAGTGGGTGGTCGACCAGCGAGCTAAGTGTGAACAGGAACAGTTGCGATGGGTGGCTACGCATCAGAAGGAGATCCGTGCGGACCAGTATCACGGAGTTCAAGACGCGTTGCTCAATGAGACGACTGTGGCGCTAGGTGAAGGAGAAGCTGTTGTGTCTGAATTCAATCGGGATATCGGCGAGTTGGTACACCCAGACCGGAGCCGCAACGAACAAGATGAACACTTTCTGGGCCAAATCGGTAAACGGGTTATCCTTCCAGATTCGCACGTCGGTGGCCCGCTTTTCAGGCTATGCGCGAGCGAAATCCAACGAACCAGATCGCCAAGTCCATTTTGTACCAAAATATCCCAAAGAAGTTTTGCTGGGATGACACGGAGAAAAAGTGGATTCGCAGAACTAACTACCAGGCGGCGATTTGTCGTTTGATCCACGTTTCCCCCAAGGATATCGAACGCTTCTATTTGTGAGTACTACTAAGGCCCGACTTCCTTCAAGGACATACGAACTGTGAATGGTATCGTTTACAAAACGTATCATTTGGCGGCGAAGCACGCCGGATTTCTGGATGGAGATCAAGAGTGGGTGGTTTGCATGTCGGAGACCGCAACGTTTAAGATGCCGAAGCAACTGCGCCAGCTGTTCGCAACGATTTTAGTTTATTCACAGGTAGCAGGCGTTCGGGCATTGTGGGATCAATTCTACGAGGAGCTTTCGCGTGACATCGCGTAAAAGCACAAGGATCTTGAAGGCCAAACCAAGGTGGATACCATCCAATTCCACACGCTCAAGCGGCTTTACAAGAACCTGCTAATAAGCGGATATGCCGTACATGACTTCGACCTCCCGCAGTTGAGCGAGCATCGGGCTTTGGTGCTGGAATCTCTGCTGGAAAACAACCTTATCCGTCGGGAACTAAAGGGCTATGACCACGACATCTTACAAAGTGTTCATGACCGTACCAGCGAACTAAACGAAGGGCAGCGTGCTATCTACGAGAGGGTTATGGACGCAGTAGAATGTCCCCAAGTTGGAAAGAAGCTATTCTTCATCGACGGACCAGGTGGTACCGGAAAATCGACACTGCTGAAGCATATCCTCGCGAGTGTCCGTCTTTCTGGGAAAATCGCGATTGCGGTGGCGTCTAGCGGAATTGCTGCTTTACTGCTGATGGGTGGGCGTACCGCACACTCTACGTTCAAGATTCCTCTCAAGTTGAATGAATACTAGACTTGCTCGATTTACAAGCAGTCCAAGCTCCGGAGGTTAATTCAAGAGGCCAGTCTGATCATTTGGGACGAGGCGCCAACGACACACCGCCACGCCTTCGAAGCTGGCGACTGGAGTCTACGCAACATCATGGACAATGAGCAAGAACCATTCGGAGGCAAAACGTTCGTATGTCAGGCGATTTTCGGCAAATTCTTCCCGTCGTTGTGAGAGGCACGCCCGCAGAAACGATTGACGCCTGTCTGAAGTCGTCATGTCTGTGGCAGCACTTCGAACAAGTACAACTCACCGAGAATATGCGAGTGCGATCGGCGCACAGCGCAAGTACAGCGGCTGAACTGGCAGCTTTTTCGGAATTCCTATTACAAGTTGGCGAAGGCAGACACGAGGTGAACCCTGCTCTTGGAGGCGACTATATGAAGATACCGCGCGACATGTTGGTCGAGAACCCGCCTGAAGTACCCGACGTGGACGCTCAGATCGTGCCTGGCGCTATCCCAATCGGGCTTTCTCGGATGGTTGACGCCATGTACGCTGATATCAATAACCCGGACATCGCAACTGATGACTACTTCGCGAGCCGTACTATCTTGATGACGACGAATGCTATGGTTCAACGTATTAACGATGCGGTGTCTGCGCGCCTGGAAGGTGATGCCCAAGATTATCTCTCCATTGATTCGGTACAAGATGACCATGACAGCAACGTTTTCGACCAAGAAGTCTTGAATTCTGTCAACATCAACGGTATCCCGCCACACCGACTGACGCTTAAGGTGGGAGCACCAATCATGCTCATGCGAAACTTGAACCCGGACTTAGGCCTTTGCAACGGCACGCGACTACGGGTGGTGGCGCTAAAACCTCATGGCATCCACGCCACGATCATGACGGGGGAGCGTCGCGGAAAAGACGTGTTGATTCCCAGGATTGTATTCATAAGTGATGACAGCGCTCGAGACTTACCGTTTCACTTAAGGCGCAAGCCGTTCCCGGTACAGCCTTCATTCGCGATGACGATCAACAAGGCCCAAGGACAAACGGTGTTTAACCTCGGATTGTACCTGGCGTCTCCCTGCTTCTCACACGGCCAGCTGTACGTCGCGCTCTCCCGGGTTACTGCGCGCTCCAAGATCAAGGCGTTGATTGAATACCCCGAGTTAGAAGAAGATGACGGAGCGTAGACAGCGAATATCGTGTACAGGCAGATTTTTGAGACGGCGTAGTCACGGTGGAAAAAGTAACTCTACATATAACTTTGGATAATACGTGTTCTTTTGCATTTCATTTTGGATTCTTAATGAGCTTTACACAAACACGCCCGACTAATTAGCCCTATCTACTGCAACTAACCACATAACTACCGCCGCGTAGCGGCGGCGCTCGGCTAGTCCCAACCATCTACGAGAGAGATCGTCCAGTCTGTGTGGAAGTCCGTGTGAAGCCCCATGGCGACAAAATTAGGGTGGTCCACATATCGTACATAATGTGTCTTGGTCGCCGAAGGCGGCACCCGCGCGCATTGTAGCGGGCCGCAGGGCCGCCCAACTTCAAAGTTACTAATAACGCTGCGAGTAGTGTAGCGAACCGACGAGGCGAGCGGAACGGGGGCGACAAACATGTATCACCCCCGCTGCGTAATACTTTTCGGACCATCTGATATTAAATAAATTTGGCCCACCGCGTAGCAGCGATAGCTGGGCCCGCACTTCTACTAGCCCTGCAACGAGGTTTGCTGTAAAAGTAACTGTCACGAGCGTAGTAAGCGATAACAGTACGTAGTATGCGATAGCAACGCGTAGTAAGCGATAGTATGGTGTAGTAAGCGATAGCAGTGTGCAGTAAGCGATAACAGCGGGAAGTAAGCGATACCAGTGCGAGTACACGCAGTGGAAGGAGTGCACATATTATTACTAACACGTGCAGAATACTTTTACTGTAATACTTTAGGGATGGACATATTATAGCTGCAGCGGTGCTTAGTGTTCATGTTACGAGGGCATATAGCTACATTGGCTGAAGCCCGTTTATATATTGCAGGTACAGTGTGTAGCGGTAGGATAATGCGTTAGTGGGGTCGTAGATACATGTATTCTGACATTCACTGAGAGGGAGATTTTTAGCGCCGTCGTTTTGGTTACCTACGCGTGCGAATCAGCCCCACGAAGCCCCACGGAGAACGGTGGCGTTGAATGTAGCTCTGCGATTGTTACAAAGTATTGCAGAGATAATTTGTGGGTCGGTAGCAGCTACGGAGTTCTTGCAGCTCTTTTTGGATTGGATAAATCCCATTTCTCCCTCTAGCGATGATATACTAGTGACGTCGATGCAAGCATTAACTAAGTCCCGGACGGGATCTCTGGAATTCCGAAGTATTCGTGCATTGCTGTGCGGTTCATATTCACTTCAACAGCTTCGCAACTTTAGCATCGACGTTGAGGGGTTCAATTGGTCGCCGGTCGTATTCATCTGGAAGGAAGGATTCCGACATACGTTTGGATGAGGGCGCATTGGATGTAACGAAGTACTCGAGACAGGTTCGATAGACGAATTGTTGATGAAGCTGTTCGGTGTATACTGTCAATGGTCAACGTTTCGTTTCTTTCGAGGGGGACAAAAAATATTAGGCTTGACGGCGAGATTAACGCATTACCTGCAATCCAGCGGCGCAAAACAGTAAAGACTATATACGATGCGTACGTGGCCAGCGACTGCCCTAAGGGCAAGGTACTCCGTCGGACATTCTATCGACTGGCTTCGATTCTGACTCATGGAACCACCCAGCCTCGAACCGCTGTGAATTACGTGACTGGCTTTCTCGTAAATGACAATTTCGACCTTCTCAGGCGCATAGTTTCTGATTTACTTCCTGAAACAAGTGTCGTTGTACTCCGAAGACTCAATATCTTACGCGAGTGGCTCAAATATGGATGTAACGCAGCGTTCGAACGTGATACTCGGTTCCACGAAGTCACATGTCCCCGCCATTTGATTCGGCTCGCCTTAGAAACACCGACAAGACGGTGAGTGAGAATATCACGGTGCCCAGCGAAACCAGGCGCTACGTTTCGTGTCGACAGTGTGACGCAATGGACATCATATTCGATGGCCTTCGATGGCAAATAGAAGCCACGGGGCCTGACCCCACTACGTTAGATGTTCTTAACGATGCCTTCGAGAAAATGGAGCTCTTCCTGGGTCACAGAGTGAGGGTGGTAAATCAACAGCGCGCTCTCCAGGAAACCGTGGACGAAATCAGAGAGAGGTGCATCGAGCAAAACTATTCTGACGAAGTGCTTGTCATCATTGATTGTAAGATGAAGATGGAGCTTGTTTACGTTCGCGAAAAAACGGTTGACCACTACGGCAATAGAGGATTATCATGGCATGGTGCACTGATTCGCTAGTGGACCTATGATGTTGCTAGTGGTGATGCACGGGAGACGAAAGTCTATTTGGATCAAATTTCAAATGCAGACCACAAGCTGGATAAGGAAGCTGTTGTTGGACTGATTGAGGGCGTCTTAGGATCTCTCCACAGAACGGTTGATCTTATCAAGAAGGTTACGTTCCAGTCTGACAATGCTGCATGCTATCAGAACTCATTGCTGACGCTAATGCTGCCCCTGCTTGGTGCTGCGCACGGCATTCAAGTACTTCGATTTTTGCACACGGAGACGCAAGACGGTAAGTGCATGCTTGACGCCCACTTCGCTACTGCCATGCGTCAGGTGAAGAATTGGGGTCGTCAAGGCCACAACTGCACAACACCGGCCGAAGTTATCACTGCATTGGACGCCGATGAGGGTAGCCCTAATTGTATAGCTGAGCTTGTGGAGTATGCTAGAGACAAGTTGGAGAGTTTAAGCCGATGTGTTGAGTCGATGGCACGATCGTTGAACAAACTTTTTACACGTCAGGTTTGATCCTGTAGCATTGGACTGCAGTGCTCAAGACTTGGATGTGAAATCCTGGCCGGCTTTGAAATTCAAGACTAGCCGAGCACCGCCAATTTTTTGTTAGTTGGCGCTTCACTCGCTATGCTCGCTCCTCTATTGGAGCAGGCTGCCTACGCTTCGCTACGGCAGTGGCGGACCCGTTCCGCTCGCCTCGTCGGCTCGCTGCACTACTCTCAATGTTTAGTTACTACTACAGAGGTTGGGCGGTCCCTGCGGTCCCGTAATATCGTATGAGGGGGTCGCCTTCGCTGCGCTCGGCAGCAATTCGTAATTAGTGGAATTCGTACTTAGTGGATAAGTGTGATCTAGTCTCGTACGGACAGCGACACTCTGATAGATTCTTAGGACTATCCGAGCGCCGCCGCTACACGGCAGTACTCATGTGGTTAGTTGCAGTTGAGTGGATCCCACCGGAGCGAAGCGGAGGTGGGCTTTATCCGGTTCAAATGCTTTCAAATTCGATTGTGTGCACGTAAAAAGTGTTGTGTTGCAAGTACTGTTACATAGTAGAGTTACGTAGCTGGCATCAGCTTTACCAATGTTTCCACGTAAGAGTTAATGCAAATAGATCTATGTTGTTGTACGGTACGGTGCCGTAAAGCGTGTCCACATCGCCACGATTTATTAACCCGACTACAACGTCGTCTCGTAGTGCATATATAAATAATTTGTATTTCGTGTAATGTGATCAAAAGAAACATTGGTATAAGGTACATGTCGTCGTGGTAGGGTGGCTTGATTTGATATATCTATACACGGTATGTTCACATAAATCTGTGTACGTCTTGAATTACCAAGTGTATCACTACTATAGTTTTCTGTTAATTTGTTCGTCGGTGTAGCTATGCATTCTGTACCCGGGCAATTAGGCCAAATCACAATTAAAATATCGCTATTCCTCTACCTAACATTCTACTTGGTGCCTCTGCTGTTATAAAACACCGTTTCCACATTTTGCCACATCGTTTGGGCATTTTCTCCGCTCCAAAAAATGTATTCAGCTCCGGGCTACGTTAGCTTCTACGTGGATCGCCTCAAAACTCAGGAATTCGTCAGTTTCTTGTTCTACTACACACCGAAGATTAGCATTTTAGTGTACCACGTTCTACTACACGGCGAACATTAGCATTTTAATGTACCACCTGCAGTACAATAGCTAAGATTTTAAAAGTAAGAAGTTCGCACCCCGAAACTATGCACGTTTCCGTTATGCTGATTCCGTTTCCTGAATGTATATCCGTCCAATAACACGGTTATTGAAGGAATCTGGAGCAGTCACTTCGATCAGCCATGACCCTCATCCTGGGCCCGGACGCCGTCAGCGACGACAAATTCACTCCCTGGGCAACATCCCAGAAGGTTCTGGGCCTGGTATTCAACACCATCGCTGGTACAGTTTCGATTCCAACTGACAAGATCGTCAAAGCCCGCGCCCTCGTCGCCGACGCTTACAATTCGCGCGTTCTAAGCCGCAAGCAGTATCGATCTCTCCTAGGCTCCCTCCGTCACGTCGCGACTTGCGTCCGACCGGCAAAGGCGTTTCTCCAACGCCTACGCGCGGCAGAATCCAAACTACACCGATGGACTTCTGTCCCTATGACACCCCACATGCGAGAGGACCTTGCTTGGTGGAAAATCATCCTCAACTCACCCACCCTCAATGGCGTCCCCCTAGAATACTTCCGTCACAGCCCCCCTTCCGACTTCACAATTGAAATGGATGCATCCGACACGGGCCTATGCGCACTTGACCGTGCCCACTGCCGAGTACTCACTTACCGGTTTTCCGAGACCGAACTAGATCTCATCCGAGTCTTTAACGCTGACGCATGGAACGAGTTTGACATCAACTATCGCGAGCTACTCTCGTGTGCCTTCGCCGTACACGCATGGGCACCGACGTGGCGGGTCAAGAGAATGGAGACCCCGCACACGGCCCCCATCCACATGCACTTTCGCATCGATAACACGTCTGCGGTGGCGTGGCAAAGCAAAATGTCCTCCTCGAACACTCGAGTGCAAACGATCATACGTCTACTGAGCTACTGGGAAATGCACTTTGGCCTGCGATTTTCATCTCCCACATACCCGGCGCCGGTAACGTCATAGCGGATGCTGGTTCTCGGTTTTCCAAAGACCACCGTGCCCACACCACCTTTACTAACCTTACATATGCCTGGTCACAGACTCAGCCTACGACAGACATCAATGGTCTGGAACGGATCTGGCAAGATATCTCCGCGAGCATTCGGTGGCAGACTCAACCTACCGGAAATAGGAACGAGCGTTCGGCACATGGCAAGCGTTCATCACCCGCCGCGCGGTGAACCCGTGGCTCAGCGGCGTCCCAGTGGCGGCGCAAGTCCAGCACGTATCCGATTTCATCCTCATGGGATTCCAGCAGGGCTACGGCTCAGGCCGGCCGGTCCGTAGCGCCACGATCGCGAACAACTTGATGGAAGTCCGCCACTTCTTCCAGGCGTCGGGACGACACTTCCCAGTTGACCATCCACAGGTCCGCATGCTCCTCAAAGGCATCAGCTGCCTGGATAGCCCGCCGGAGCGCAAGGCTCCCGTGTCGATCCAGCTGATGGAGGCGTGCTTCGCGTCCCTCAACCTTGCTTCCTTCTCGGGCCAAGCCTTATGGGGGTTGTGTGTCTGGCGTTCTTTTTCCTGCTTCGGAGGTCGGCGATAACGTCCGTCAGCGGAGGCAAATTCCGCTGGTTTGCGCTGAAAGCTCAGGACGTGGCCGTCTTCGACCGAGCTGGCAACGCTACCCTGGACGCAAGCGCAGCAACAACAGTGCACATCAGGCTCCGCGGATCCAAAACCAACCAGTCAGGGCAAGCGACAACTTGCATACTACGACGCTCAGGCCATCGCTTCCTGTGCCCGGTCCTAGGGGCGCTCCTTCTCCTACGATCGCAGCGATCACTGCCAGCCGAGCTGCCGGCGGCCATGTACATGTCCCGCTCGGAGGCGCCCAGCTCAATATCGGCGCGGCAGGTAGCGAACACAGTCCAGGACGCTACAAGACGCATCGGATGCGACCCACGCGAGTACAGCACACACTAGCTCCGGTCGGGAGGAGCCACACATATGTACCGCGCCGGCGTGGACGCCCTGACCATCCAGTTTCATGGCCGTTGGGCATCGGACACCTTCAAGATATACACTCGGCCAAAGCGCGCTGAGTGTCCTCTGAGTACCACATGCTCGTAAACAGTCATAACCGTAAACTAGCGTCGTTGTAGAAACTGGTGCTCAACATACGTTTCCTTTACATCAGTCGGCACAGTGACGTTGGGGCAAATCTGCAACTGTATTGAGGTCCCGCAAGCATAGTAAGTGGGGCGAAATCTGCAACAACTCTCCAGTGACGGCCTCAGCGACCGCCTTACTTGGGGGGCTCAGCCACGTCCAACTTGGACAAGGCTGCGGCTGGCGCTGCTAGACGACACCTCAATAAAGTTGCAGATTTGCCCCAACGTCACTGTGCCGACTGATGTAAAGGAAACGTATGTTGAGCACCAGTTTCTACAACGACGCTAGTTTACGGTTATGACTGTTTACGAGCATGTCGTACTCAGAGGACACTCATCGCGCTTTGGGCAGGTCTCACTTCGCAATCCTCTTGCCAACTCGCAGTATCCCACCCGAAAACAAGTCGCCCAAGACGACAACGAGCATGAAGGCAGCGTTCCTTACACTTTTCGTTGTCTTCATCTTCGTCGCCGGTGCTGAGCCCCGCGTCGGTCAAGATACTTTAGTGAAGCCGCCCCGATCTCCCGATGGTGACAAGGCGACGCTGAGGCTCTTGAGGTCTGATGAGGAGGTTACGGATGAGGTGATCACCGGAGATGACGAAGAGCGGGTTAATGTCCCCGGGTTATCGGCCATTTTGGACAAGATCTCCTCAACTACAAAACACCTGGCGAACAAGTTCAAGCCGGCGAACTAACTAAAGAATATGATGAAGTTTTCAAGGTAGTACCAAGTCTGGACACACCAGGCGTGAATATCGACACCGACGATCTTCTCCAGTGGATGAAACGCTTCGCACGTACAATTGCCTGAAATACAAGCACCCGGTCGAGTTGGATTCCTATTTCGCAACGGCTTTTCAAAGGGCTATCAACACCCCTGACCTGGAGAAAGTGGGCGAGAACCTGCAGATGCATCTCTTCCGAGGCTGGCTGAAGAGAGGACGAAAGCTGTGGAATCGATGGCGAATTTGTTGGGGCTCCCTTGGGAACTCCATGTTTTCTGGCTGCCTGCGAAACGTCAGGAGGGGTACAAAGCCTTTGAATCCTACACTCTCCACTACGCAGCTGAACGCAGCGGAGAAACGATGAAGAAGACCGTGGCAAGGTTGTTTGCAGCAGATAAACCAGAAGCCGCGCTTGAAGCCGTCATGAAGGTTTAGTTCAGCGATAGACCCACGGCCATATCTGCCCCGGCCACGTCAGTGTTGCGCAATTTTAAAAGTAAATGCCACGCCACGTCTTGGTAGATATCGTCAACGAGTTACAGTACGGCATACGACCTCACACGGAAATTGTGTCGCTATGGTTGCCGCGCATCGATCTACTTACCGCACTCAAGTTGCAGATGAACGAGACGGTGCGTGATTCTTAGCATCTAACACGGCAAGAACATGAACATACGCCTAATCCTGACAAGACTATACCTACAACGAATAGCAACCTTCGATCGGATTCATCCGACGTCGAAGGTGAAGACAGAGTTAACCCTACCTGGGTTGTGAAGAAGATCTGCCCATCCACCCGATACTTAGCCAACATGTTGCTGCAGAAGCTCCACGAAAACACTGTGGTCGCGTTCAAGACCTTGAGGCTCGACAAAGCTGGCGCGAACCTCGAAGATAATCCAACCTTCCTCCATTGGTTGGCGCACGTGGAGAAGTTCAAGGCCAAGATGGAGTGGTATTGGTTCAACGACTACAGAGTATTCAACTTGCTGCAGGTGATCGATGTCAAACCCACCACAAATTTTTTTTTTAAAAATTCTTTTTTCGTTGCGTTTCTGAGCTCATCAGTAAAGTTTTGGGCATTGCCGCCAAAACGTTCGATTATTTGTTTGGTTCAAATCCGCCGGAGTGGTGAACGAAACCCGACGTCGCTGCTAATTCAGTACCAGGGTCATTCTTAAAGCTCACAACTTCCGTAATGCGGCAGTGGAAGTTATCCGAAAATACGCGGCAATTCGTCAAAATTAACTCCCCTCAGAAATTCTGCCCAGAACCTTGTTTCCCCACGATCAGCCAGGGCGCGATCAACTAGAGCGATCAATGCAACGGAAGACCACGGAAGAACAACCTGTATTTATCCTATATACTGAAGTATAATATATCTTGATGTGATTTTTCCAGTAATCAAGAGATTGACTTGCTGAGCTGTATTTTTACACTTCACAATTCGCCTCCCAAGCCCAACACCAAGAACACAACTCGCGACCGACGACAGTATGCATCCGTCTTCCTTCGGGCTGCTGGTTGGCTGCGTCCTTCTATTGGGTCAATTGCACCACGTCAAGAACACAAGACCAAGGTTAGGGCCAGAATAAGTCGGGAATAGCGTCGAGCCGGAATAACAATTCTACGCTATTCAAACGAAACAGGTGAAGAACAAAGCCCCACAATAACTGGGAGAAGAATATGCGTTATGGAAGGAAGCAAATCATTGGCTGGCGCGACATTCACAGAAGTCCGCTCTCGCGAACATTGCTTCGAGCACTCCTCGCAGCTCGTCACCAAGCGCGCCGTGGTGAGGCCCCGAGCGGGCTCTAGAGGAGCCCTAAAGCTGCTCTACTCTGTCGCAACCAACCCCTGTATAGGCCGGAGCTTCCTCACCTCGCCACGAAGTCTCTACACACTCCCAGCAGCGTCAGCATCGGCTGGCCTGCGGAGTCTGGCGGTCCTCAACGCAGAGGTGAGGAAGCCCCGGCCATGTACACTGCCTACGGTAATTAGTCTGACCTAGACTATTTTTGATTGAATGGTTCATTGCTCTTAGACAATAAATAGTCTGACCTAGACTATATTTTTGCTAAGACTACTTATGAAGCAACACACTCGAAAGAGTCTTACTCGGAGTTTCCATCGACCGACTTAAGTGCTCGCGGTGTTTCTCGATAATATCTTGAAGCTGGCCAACCGACCAGGTACCATCGATTCTAAGTGAAAGTCCACATCGAATCATCGCCTTGCGTGCATAGGACATGCCATTTTTGTCCTTTTGAAGGTTGACGGCTTTCACCGTCTCTGCAGCAAGCTGGAGGAAAAACTTTTTCCCTGGATTTCGAACCACAAACAATAACAAAACTTGCAAAGGAGAAAAAGGTGTAATGGGTCAGTCGTGGTGATTAGAGCATTGCACCAGAGACTAATTTTGAAGTTGAAGTGGTCAGACTAATTATGAATTCTACAATTTGACCAGTACAATAAATAGTCTGACCAAGACTATTTTCGAACATAGACTATTTCCGCACACAGACTAATTACCGTAGGCAGTGTAGCTATTCCGCTCAGAATAGCTATCCTGACTTTCAAAGCCAGAATAACTTATTCCTGGGAATAACTTCTTAGCCAATAAGATTATCGCATTTTTCGTAATTAAGCGGGAGGAATAACTCCCACTATTCTTATTCCAGTTATTCTCAAATGAAACAGGCCCTTACGCCGCAAAGAAACCTATGATCCTACTACAACTTGGTGGACGAAGTGAGGACTGGCTACGACTCGGAGGACATAGCTGGCATTCCTGGGCTAACGGCACTTGTGGAGAAGATCAGCTCATCGACCCAATACCTGGCCAACAAGTTGGTGCAACCCGGTGACTGTTTAGTTGCCGGCAAAAGGGTGGGAACTTACACATATTATTCAGCAAGTTCACAGACGGAAACACCAACTCGATGGATATTCGCTTACTCAGCTGGGGTGAGAAAGTAAAGTTTATCCATTGATTGTTGTTGCCTTAGCCGTGTTTATATTTTTTTTTAAAATTGATTATCAAAAACTATGTTTGTGTTTTACAAAAATACTGACCGACACCGCAAGCCGCTGAGTAGGGGCGTGAACGTCAGTGCAGTGGCGTAGTTGGCAATGGGCGTTGCCGGTGAGCTCATGCAGCACCTTGCACACCAAGCGCCTCGGCAGCATCGGCCAAACATGTACAGGACGAGGGCTTATGCATGTGAATTGATTATGCAGTGTTCGTGCCAAAACCAGGTGAGGGAGGCGGCTGCCCTCAGAGTCCCTCAAGTTGACCTTCCCCGAATGCCTCGCAGTTCCCAATTAGCACTCTAACCCCCAAGCCTGGGTTGAACGCGTGCCGACTATCTCAATGTTATCAAGGTCTTCGCATAACACACCGTCCATCGGATACGACAGTGGGGAGGCTCTCATGGCACAAGGGTCCCGTGCACTGCACGAACACGTCGCCACGACGATGCAGGCCACGCTCGGCCAACCGCTCCCGCAGATGGAGGTGCGGCTCCACAACGTGTCCGTGTCTGCCGACATCGTCGTCAAGGATGAGACCGACCTCAAGACGGAGCTACCCACGCTCATCAACACCGTCAAGATGGCTGCCATTCGCATGATCGCCAAGAAGCACGTGGTGACCATAACCATCCTGCGCAACTTCAGCGGCGTGTTCAAGCCGGGCTCCATGACGCTCGTGCTGGGCCAGCCCGGCTCCGGCAAGTTCTCGCTGCTCAAGCTGCTAGCCGGCAGGCTCCCGACCGACAGGCGCGTGCGCGTGGACGGTGAGGTGACGTACAATGGCGTTCCACAGGAAGAGCTGCGCGCGCGACTGCCGCAGTTCGTGTCCCTGGTAGATCAGCATGACAAGCACTTCCCGACGCTCACGGTCAAGGAGACGCTTGAGTTCGCCCACGCGTGCACTGACAGCAGGCTGCCGAAGCATGAGGAGAAGCTGTACTCGTGCGGGACATCTGAACAGAACCAGGCAGCGCTCGACGTCCTTCGAGCCATGTACGAGCCCCACCCGGACGTGGTGATTCGTCAACTCGGTCTGGAAGCGTGCCAGGACACGATTCTGGGCAACGCCATGCTGCGCGGTGTGTCGGGCGGCGAGCGCAAGCGCGTGACGACTGGCGAGATGGAGCTCGGCAACAAGTTCGTGCTGCTGATGGACGAGATCAGCACGGGACTCGACAGCGCAGCGACGTTTGACATCATCTCGACGCAACGCAGTCTGGCCACGACGTTACACAAGACGGTGGTCATCTCGCTCTTGCAGCCGTCCCTGGAGGTGTTTGCTCTCTTCGACGACGTCATTCTGCTAAACGACGGGTACGTGCTGTACCATGGCCCCGTATCGGAGGCGCAGGCGTACTTCGAGCGATTGGGCTTCAAGTGCCCCGAGAACCGCGACGTCGCCGATTTCCTGCTGGATCTGGGAACGGACAAGCAAAAGCAGTACGAAGTGGGGGCGTGTCCGGCCAGTGCGCGCGAGTTCGCGGACGCGTTAGTGAAGTCAACTACCCGGGACGCCATGATGGTCATACTGAACACGCTGTTGGATGAGTCACTAGCACCTCCCATTTTATGCACGTTCGGCCAGAGTTCCACCAGAGTTTCTGGGATGGCACTCGCACGCTGATCCAGCGTCAAGTGACGGTAATTCTGCGCAATAGAGCTCTCCTTAAGAGCCGGCTGTTGATGTCTCTGTTGATGGGGCTGTTGAACGGCAGTACCTTCTTCCAGTTCAACGAAGCAGACGCGCAGGTGGTTATTGGCATGGTGTACGTGGCGATCAACTTCGTGACGGTCGGTCAGTCCGCCCAAATGCCGATCTTCATGAACCTCCGCGACGTGTTCAACAAGCAGCGTGGGTCGCATTTCTTCTGGACGTCTTCGTTTGTCTTGGCCACGTCTGTGAGTCAGATTCCGCTGGCGCTGATGGAGACTCTACTTTTCGGCTCCATAATCTACTGGATGTGCGGGTTTGTGTCGACGGCCGTGGGGTACTTACTGTTCGGGCTGGTCCTGTTCCTCACCAGTATGATGTTCGCCGCTTGGTTCTTCTTCCTCGCCGCCGTTCTACCAGACATGAACGTTGCGGGGCCGGTCAGCCAACTCTCGCTCTTCTTCACGACGCTCTTCTGTGGCTTCGTGATCACGAGAGGGCAAATGCCTGACTATATGCTGTGGATGTATTGGCTCAGTCCTCAAGCTTGGAGCCTTCGCGCGTCGACTGTGAACCAGTACACGGACCCTCAGTTCAATGTGTGCGTTTACGAAGGTGTCGACTACTGCGAGACGTACGGCATAACGATGAGCGATTACTCCTTAAGCTCATTTGATGTTCCTACGCGGCGTATGTGGCTGTGGCTCGGCATTGGTTACTTGATCGGCATGTACATCGTCCTTATGTGGGTCGCTTGGGCTGTTCTGGAGTTTCATCGCATTGAGGAGCGCCCAAACGTGGTTCTGAAAGACACAGAGACGTCTTCAACGTCTACGGATTATACTGCGTTGGCTACTCCAAGAGCAGCCGAAGTGAACAAGTCATCCGGCAGCGATGTTTCGATCCCAATGACTCAGCCGGCCGACGAAAAGTTCATTCCGGTCACGTTGGCGTTCAATGACTTGTGGTACTCCGTGCCCGATCCAGCGCGGCCCAAAGACACTATTGACTTGCTCAAAGGCGTCAGCGGGTACGCCCTACCAGGCACCATCACCGCACTCATGGGGTCCTCCGGTGCAGGCAAGACCACGCTCATGGACGTCATCGCCGGACGCAAGACTGGAGGCCAGATCCGAGGTGAAATCCTGCTCAACGGCCACCCCGCAACAGAGCTGGCCATCCGTCGAGCCACGGGCTACTGCGAGCAGATGGACATCCACTCGGACGCGTCGACGTTCCGCGAGGCACTGACGTTTAGTGCCTTCCTGCGCCAAGACGTCGATGTTCCTGACAGCCAGAAGTACGACTCGGTGAACGAGTGCCTCGAGCTGCTGGACTTGCACCCGATCGCCGACCAGATCATCCGCGGCAGCTCGACGGAGCAGATGAAACGCCTGACCATCGGTGTGGAGCTGGCAGCGCAGCCGAGCGTGCTGTTCCTGGACGAGCCGACGAGTGGTTTGGACGCTCGATCGGCCAAGCTCATCGTGGACGGTGTGCGCAAGGTGGCGGACACGGGGCGTACCGTCGTGTGTACGATCCACCAGCCGTCGGCTGTGGTGTTCGAAGTGTTCGACAGTCTTCTGCTGCTGAAGCGCGGCGGTGAGATGGTCTTCTTCGGAGATCTCGGTGCGAAGGCGACCAAGCTGGTCGAGTACTGCGAATCGATCGACGGCGTGGCGAGGCTTGAGAAAGACTACAACCGAGCGACGTGGATGCTGGAGGTCATCAGCGCAGGAGTGGGCAATGACAATGGGTCGAAGACGGATTTCGTGTCGCTCTTCAAGTCGAGCGCGCAGTTCCGTCGACTTGAATCGGATCTGAATCGCGGGGGTGTTGCCCGTCCTTCGCCCTCTTTGCCGGCGTTGGAGTTCAAGCGCAAGCGCGCGGCGAATAACTGGGTGCAGGCGGCGTTCTTGACCAAGCGGTGGTGCGATTTGTATTGGCGAACGCCGTCATTCAACTTGACTCGGTTTATCGTGTCGATCGTCTTGGCGATCTCACTCGGAATTTCGTACTTGAACACGGAGTACATCTCATACCAAGGCGTCAACTCAGGCATGGGGATGGTGTACATGGCGGCGGTGAACGTGACGATTATCACCTTCAATGGCTCACTTCCGATCGCGTGCAAGGAGCAGACAGTGTTCTACCGTGAGCGAGCATCCGAGTCCTATGGCGCGTTCTGGTACTACGCCGGCGCTACGCTCGTCGAGATTCCGTACTGCTTCGGCTCGACTTTGTTGTTTCTAGCGATATTCTACCCGATGGCTGAGTTCACGGGCGTCGCTGCGTTCTTCACATTCTGGCTCAACTTGTCGCTAATTGTGCTGCTGATGGCCTACTATGGCCAGTTCCTCGCGTTCTTGCTGCCAAGCCTTGAGGTCGCGTCAGTGTTTATGGTGATCGTCAACATTGTCTGCACCCTGTTCACCGGGTTCAATCCTCCCGCGGTCGCTATCCCCCGCGGCTACAAGTGGATCTACCACATCGTTCCGAACAAGTACGCGTTTGCCAGTCTGGCTGCTATTGTATTTGGCGACTGCCCCAGTGATCGAGACGGCAGTGCGCGAGGCTGCCAAACGATGACTGGTACTCCCCAGAGCTTGCCCCAAGGCGTCACCTTGAACGACTATCTCGAAACCACGTTCCTCATCAAGCACAGCGACATTTAGAGCAACGTAGGGATCCTTATCCTGTGGATTGCCGTGCTTCGGTTGCTCTCGCTGTTGGCGCTCAGGTACGTGAACCAGCAGACAAAGTGAATCTACGAGCGGTCAAAAAAATCCACCCTCTTATGCATAATTGCCGTGTGTGTAGGTGCTTGTGGATAAAAACCGACAGCAACACTTGCACTTTCAAAAGCGCAATTGTGGCGCTTTTAGCGTAATTCTAGGCCTCCACCCATTTATTCACCTCGATTTATCGTTCTACCAGGTGGTCGCTATAAATACAGCACATCTCGTCTCATATTGCCAAAATCATTGCAAAGCACAATAAATACCCTGTAATGCAGTGGGGTGGCACAGTTTGTGCGAATGAAGACCATATGAAGTCCCCACAGGCTTTGATTCAAAACGATGAAGTTTGTACACCATTCCAAGGTCAAATTGAGAGGAATCAAAATCAAAACGAGAGCGGCCAAAATCAAAACAATAGCATTTCTCACGGTTGGTTGATTTGCAGGTTGCAGGTAAATCTAACCAATCAGCATAAACCTGCAGGTGTGTTCAGAAAGTGCATTGCAGGTTAGCCAGCATACTTTGTGACTTGCTGCAGGTTTGGCTGCGGGTTTGCAGGTAAATCCTATTGGCTGATGAAACCTGCGGACCTTTCACCCGTAAGAACCGCTAATAGCATCCATGAAAAAGGGCACTGGCCCGGCTAAAGCTTTCCAGAGGGATTTTTCCGCTCACTATAGACTATAGTATAGATTGGACAAGTCAATGGATTTGCACCGAATGTATAGTTTCGAGAGTGATTAGATAGATGATAGCAGTATACGTTATTGAAGGGTTTATCAATTTGACTTTGGCGGCAATCAATTTGAACTACGATTCCTCTCAATTTGACCTTGAAATGGTGTACACTTGGACAAGATCCGTTGAACCGGCTGGAAAACACGTCAAATCGGTATTCCATGATAGCGTATCCTTATGTCAGTGACAGTCCTATTTACATACAATACAGTATGTATACTTTATTGATCAGATGGCAGGTTGTCACCATGGATGACGTGAAAAACCTTGTAGCTTGGGCTGAATCTCAACCAAAGTTGTCATGGATTGCGATACTGTAGATAGACGATGCATTTATTATTGTGATCACCATACAGTTTGCCTATTTCCAATGCTAAATCGACCGAGATGAGGAGATTTATGCTCTATATTCACAGTTCGTTAGGATTGTGTCTAGTACACGTGCTTTCAAATGTGTACCCCAGGGGTACTATTGCCCCCCACGCCCAATTTTATTTATTTACCCATACTAAACCCTGTACTATACAGGCCGATATTTTTGTACCTCTGGGGTACTATTATCCCCCCGAGTCCATTTATTATTTTTACTTCGCTTACTTCACTTACTTTTAGGCGCTACTTCGAAGTACTTTAAAATATCGGTTTTATTGTTACTTTACTTGCTGTTACTTCAATTGTGTACAATACACAACTACGTACTACCAGCACGCCGATACCGCCGAATACCGGCCGAATAAATTGGAAAATGTGTGCTGGACTAGCAACGCGCTAGCATCAGTGATGCAGGACCTTATAGGGGCGGTTGCTTTGCCATCCTGAGCAAGACTGGCGCAGCTTTGATAAAAAGTAAGATATGAAATGCAGAACTACTGTATACTATTGATTGCATATCGTGTTCAATCCTAGCTTGGTATACGTGCACGTGCTGGCCGTAGTGCTGAGCCATTACGCTGTTGGGGGACCGTTGGCTGGGCCGAGCTAGCCGGACCCCGCTGGGTGGGCCTCGCTGTCGTTGCCCTTATGGCTGCAGTACTGGGGGTAGAAATAGCGAGCTTCAGTGAACTATTCAGATTGTTTATTAGTCAGTCAGGAGCGAAGAAGTGAAGGGGTGCGCTGTCTTGGTTTTCCTCAAACAGGACAGCGCCTTGCAGATAAATTATAGTGAAAGCAAGTCTATTTGTCAACCAGCATACAAGTCTGAGGGATGGGCTGTCTTGGGTTTCATAGTGAAACTAAGTTTATTTACCACTCAAATTATCCAATCAGTGAAGGGTCGCGTGAGCTGTCTTGTTTTGCCCCGAACAAGGCAGCCCCCCCCTTCCCGACTTCAACCCACTTGCTGCCATTCGTGAATTTGCCTAAACTTGAAATTATGCGGGCGAGGCTTGATAGTTAAGTGTTGGTTAGGAGAGAAATCCGAAAGTGAATTAGAATGAGTTAGGTCAAACTAACTATCATATCCTAGTCTCCTATGCTTAAACATGAATCGTACCAACGTACACCTCCTACTTCCCAGTATTAGAGGCCGGGGATCAAAAAGTAAATGTTGCAGATCGTATCCAGAAAGGCAACTTCAACTTGCCTTTCTCTCAACCAATCAGAAGTGTCAAATCTTGGGGCTCCGCCAATCAGATCCGAGTATTCCACCACGTGTACCACAATTGCCTACAACTTCACAGCAAACACGTGCCTCGATACGGAGACACACAACTAGACTGCGAAGTGTACAATCGGAACACCCCCACTCAATATGCAGTCTACCCGAGCATCTCAGTGATGTTACCGCGCTCGAGCAGATAGCGAAGAGCACCCCTCGGATGAGACGAACCTGAGACGCGTCTCCGCCAAAATTAGGGAGACCAAAAACCTATGGAGATCGTCTCCTAAGGTTAAAAGGCTCCCTTCCGACGTAACTACTCAGAAGGGAGACGGCTTCGATTGCTCACAAAACTCCCTCCGTCTCCGTTTGCTGCATTATTATTGGCTTATTTGTGATACAATCTAACTGGTTGAAACTATGTCCGAGCAACCAGGTTTTAGCGGTGATAGCTAGATCATTTAAGCTAAAGACCCAGGTTTGCTAACAAGATCGCATGGAGAACGCCCATGTACAGGAAGTCGAAGAGGAGCTCGTCGTCGTGCGCAGCAGCCGTGAAAGCGCTGTGATCGATAGCTGGCGGCTTGGGATGGCCATTGCCCATGTATCGGTGCAAACGAATGTGCTGGCTGACCAACACGAGCTTCTTCAACTACGCCAAGACCAACAAGCCCATGAACAGCAATACTACGTGGACACAAGCGTTCAATACCTTCGAGCCGAAGCTGAAGCGCGGTCAAACGAGCTAGCGTCGGTGATCTTCCAAACTCGTGCAGACCCAGGAGCAATCGCACAACACATCGATACTCAACTCCGCGCAGCACTTGCCGTGGCACGCGACGAAGCGCGTGCCGAATCTCGTGATGTGGCTGCAGAGAGTGCTCGTATGCAGCAAGAAACTGAGCGCAGGTTTCAAGCAGCCTTGAACGAACTCGAGAAAGATGTAAGCGAGCAATCTGAACAGCGGACCAAGGAGCTTCTCACGGCATACTTTCGCCACTACAAAGAGGAAACAGATGCTTCTATCAAAGACCAAGTGCATGAAGCGGCGTTAGTGACGCAGCACCAGCTTCACAGCCTCGAACAGAAGATGGAAGCCAGTATGGAGCACGTGGTGAAGGCTGCAGAAAAAAATTCCGTTCTGCCGTTCGCCGGCACCTCGCAAGCGACAATCTCGCCCATGAAGCAGCTCTTGAAGCCCGGTTGAGCTCCGCTCTGGCTGAAATTGAGTCAAAGGCGATTGCCCATGCTGAAACACGTGCGGAAGCGATAGTTGGAAGGTTTCGCAATAGACAGCTGACCGACGCAGCGTTGTTTCGCCCGCCTGGCATCGAAGTTCGTGAAGAGGACCCAGAGGAAGAAGTTACCGGCGCTGCTCCGCTGAACATCGCAAATGATACCGACGAGGACAGCAGCAGCGATACGGAAGTTTGGTCAATGTCTCCTCTCCGAGACACATCCACATCAAGTGATCACATGGCGAGATCTGATCGTCCGTCTGGGCAATGCACTACGCGTAAAGGTGCATCTGAAGCAGCCCACAGGCAGATTGCGGATCGAGCTCGCGAACGAGCTAAGGCGCTGATGCTTTCATCTGCTAAAACGAAACTAGCGAACAAAAAGAAGAATGTACACAGTCGACACCGAGCAATGCCGCCGCCAGCCCCACTGAATAATCGAGAGTGTGCCGCTTTGGCGATCGAGCTTAGCAAGGTCCGAAAAGTAGCACGCAAAACCCAGCAAAACCCTAGCACGATCACCACCCCATTGGCTTCCACAACTACGAAACTGAGTTGATAGCTCAGGTGATAGTAGCATCAAGCCTTTGAAAATCTCTCAGGTTCATTTAATAAAACTCTCGTCAATTGAATATTTTAGCTGAGTCTAAACAATGTTTTTTTCGTCGTCGTCCTCGCTGTCACTGGAAAAATACTCCTCCAAGGCATCGTCGGCTTCCGTATTCTCTTCGACCGTCACGGGAAGCAGCATATTGGCAGGGATATATGCGGTGCTGCACTGGCCCGAATTTTAGGGCATTGAGTGATGGCGACGTAGCGTCTGTTGCAATTGATGAACGTTGACATATCAATGTTGTGTGGTGACAGTGACGAGCGCTCGGGTGTCACCATTCGACCGGCTGTACCAAAGTCACGTTCTATCTGCGCTGACAAAGCTGATACAGCAAAGAGAATCTTGACCACCAGTGGGAGGAAACGATAGGTATTAGACGCAGCCTCTCGGCGCCAATACGACAACACCGACTCAGCTTTTCCATTAGCTGCCAGTCGAAGCGAAGTTGGCGTCGCCATCCACAGTCGTAGCTCTTGCTCCACGCTGCTGTCATGAACAGTTTGCTGCTCCTCGCGATCCACCTGCTGCCAGACGGCTGAGTCGTCAATGAGCTCCATTAGATCTTCGGAGAAGACAACGTTGGGAAAAGCGGGGGTATTTGTCTCCTGCCGTTGAGGTTCTGTGGCCACTGTTCGCATCAATGCTATCGTCTTGGTGACAATTGCATTTTTCACCTTCCAAAAGTTGACTTCACCTGCTCCCTTGTGTGACGACCTTTTGGAGTGCACAGGAGGACAACGTCCTTGAGAATGCTGTCCAGGTTCTTGAAGTTCGTGTGCAGCAGTAGCTGCATCTCAAACAAAAATGAGCATTGGACAATTTTCGCTCGATCCGTATACCGGGAGAAGAACACACGCTGGAATTCTTCTTGAAGCTTCAACCGCGTCTCCCGTGCCAGTTCAGTAAGTTGATCAAGTCGAATGTACATTTTCCTCTCCTTCGTAGATCGATAGTCGCGGAGAACCTTGTCGCAGTTGAGTGTGGAGCGCCGCAGGTTGAGCAGCGTCAAAGGTACTTCAACCTGGGTTGCAGATTCGCTTTGAGCCCTTGTATTTAGTAGCGCGATTGGCTCGAGCAGCGACAACACCTGAGTGAGGTTATCGTAGTCATTAGCCAAAGGAAAAGCACACGGAGGCACCTTCCCTTCACGATCCTCTTACGCAAGACGCTCCTCGTACCAACCCACGAGAGGTGCCCACAGGATTAAAATGCGGCGAACCACACGGGTAAGCCCCAGGAACCGGTGCGGGCGATATTCTAGCAGTTGCTGCGGCGCCTTGTCGCCCATGCTCATGAGACAGTCTTAACAATGCGCTTCATCAGAGCTGTCATAGCTGGATTCTTGGACTTGCTGGCATTGCTAACCATACCACAAGCTTTCTTTGTGGCAGCACTCGACATGTGCGGGATACACCACTCCCAGTTGAGCTGCAACCCTTTGGTCATCACCCACTTCACGTCAGGACCCGCATCACTTGTAGCTCCAAACAGGTCCGCCCGAGTTAAACCAAAATCGATCAAAATATCATTAAGCCACCGCCGACATGGCGGACGAATTCCACCAGACCTCTCGCTGTACTTCGGGTTGAAGTGACGGGTGCCGTGCAGGATAGACTTGAACTCGTACTGCTTGTTGATGAAATACAACCGGAGCCCCAAAAACTTAGCACCCTTGCCTTTTGGAGTCCAAAAGTCGGGGACGACCGTGAATGTCGCTGCGTGTCCGACTCGGTTGTCATGGATTTCACAACAAATAGTACTTTTGGACGAAGCGTATAGCTCGATCGTGGCGTGGACGACAACTTTTGCGTTGACGGCAGCATGCATTCCGTCCTTCATTACAAGCTCTCGGGTCGAGATGGACTCTTCGTACTCCGCCAAACGGTATGGCAGGTTGTTGTTGATGATCCGAAGCGTTATAAGGAGAACGTAAACGCGTGCTGGGTCATCGCTGAACATCTGAGAGTGCCGAAGCCGATCCAATTCCTCGTCACGCCCGCGCTTCTTTTCCAACTCGCACGCTGTCTTGTCAGACACTATTGCATGGGCTTCACACAGATGTTTCGTCGCCTTGGATCTTTTCCCTGTTAATAAAGGGTAAAACACATCCGCTCTCGATCGACAGGCCTCGGAGGCGAGACACATCCAGACGGCGGGAACTCCTGCGTCCACGAAAGTTGCAGGTGGCGCTGGGGCCTCCGCAATTCGAACCCCATAGGAGAAGATTAGCGATGTCTCGCTACGTCTTGGCGGGAGGGCCACAAATCCAGCAGGGGGTTGAAAGTTGGCGACCGCGTCTTTGACCGTAGGATGCACACTAGACATGCTGAGCGTTGAGGATGAAGGCGCGGCGGCGGTGGCGAGGGGGTGGGGGGCTACTGTGGGGCTTGAGCGTAAATGTTGTTGTGAGGGGAGAAGGGAAGGGTGGATGCGAGCTCAATCAGAGATAAGGCTTACGTGTGGATTGGGGACAGGCGCATCTTAAGTCTGCTTGAACGAAGTGGTGCCAGACTTCCGGGACAGGCCAACCAGCATGATGCGTTACTAAAAGCCTCCAAAATGACAGGCGCAACACTAAGAATTAGCTGTGCCTTTTCGGCTAAGCGTTGCACGATAACTGAAGGGGTTTTGTCCAATCCTAGATCCCGGCAAGGGAGCCCCGGGCCCGCGGCAAAGTACGAAACTTGGATACAGGAGACGGTGAGGGGGAGACGGTGGTTACATCTCTCTTTTTTCGCGACTTCTAGTAGGAGATGGTATTCCGGTTCAGGAAACTGGTCTCGAGCATAAAGAGACGGTAAACCGGTAATATCGTCTCTGTTTTTCTCGTCTTGTCCGAGGGGTGGCGAAGAGTCTTAGTCGAGAGTCCCTTGGTCAGGAAATCAGCGAGTTGGTTCTTGGACTCAACGTAATCGAGCTCCACAACGCCACTCGTGATCTTCTCGCGGATGGAGTGATAGCGGATGTCGATGTGCTTGGTGCGAGCCTGGTAGCCGACATTCTTCGCCAACGCCATGGCACCTTGGTTGTCCTCGTAGATCACCGTAGATCCATCTTGCTTCGCACCCAAATCCTTGTGTAGTAGTCGCATCCACACCACCTCCTTCACACATTCGCTGAGTGCCATGTACTCCGCCTTAGTCGAGATCAGCGCGACCGTCTTCTGATAAGTCGATCGCCGAACCACGGGAGCATCACACATCATCAGCATCATTCCGCTTACAGAGCGTCTGTCATCGCGGTTTCCAGCCCAGTCGGCGTCCGAATACGCGACGAGCTCCGTGCCAAACAATCCATCGTAGACGATTCCGTGATTCTTGGTCTTCAACAGGTACCGTACCACACGGATACCAGCATCCCAGTGCTTCTCACCGGGGTTCTCCAGAAAACGGCTCAGTTTAGCCACTGCCGCTGAGATGTCCGGTCGCGTTTCACACGCCAGGTACATCAGACTTCCCACGAGAGAGCGAAACTGCTTCGACTTCATCTTGGCCTTGTCCTCCTCGGTTTGGGGTTCGTCCGCCTTGGTCAACTGCACACTTGGGTCGAGTGGAGTCAGACAAGGCTTCGCATTCTCCTGGTCGAACTTCTTGATGATCGATGCGGTGTACGCCCGCTGGCAGATGCCCAGCGTCTTGGCCTCCATGTCGTAGTCAATCGCAATGCCAAGGATGAATCGAGCGCGTCCGAGGTCCTTGATGCCAAACTTGTCCGCGATGCCTGCCTTCACCGAGTCAATGATGACCCGCTGGCGAGATGCAATCAGGATGTCGTTGACAGCTTGAAAACCCAAGCTCTTGAGATGCGCGTCGATCGTCCCACCCCATACGCGAGACGCTTGCTTGAGTCCATACAAACTCTGCAGTAGCAGGCAGACGACCTTGAGCTTCAGCCAAATCCAGCAGTTCTCGAAGTCCTTCAGACAACACTATGTAGATCTCCTCTTCGCGTTTTCCATACAAAAACGCGGTGTCGATGTCACATTGATCAAACTCCATTCCGTCGGCGCAGCACTCCGCGAGTTTCGCACAGATGGAGTTCAGGTACACCACCGGCGAGTAGGTCTCCTCGTAATCGATTCCATGTCGCTGCGAGTACCACTTGGTAACGAGACGAGCCTAGTACCGAACGACTCTCCCCGTCTCGTCGCGCATCAACGCGAACACCCAGCGGCAGCCAATCGCGTGCTGGTGTTTGGGCTTGGGCATCAACTTCCATGTCTTGTTCGTCATCAGCGACATCAGCTCAATTGCAATCGCTGCCTTCCATTGGGCACGATCCTTACCCGTAATCGTCTCTTGATACAACCTTGGCACCTCCTCCGTTGCAGCCATCAGCATTCCTCCGTGGATAGTGAGCTGGTTGTTGTCCGAATTGGCGCGACCTTGGTCCACCTTCTGACGCTTCGTCCTGATCCGGATGGCGCGACGACTTGTTTCTTGCGAGCTCCGGGATCCTCAGGATCGTTGGTCTCTTCAATGTGACGAGCACGCAACCGAGTAATCATCGGATGGGTAGTGTACCGAACGATTGCTCCACCTGTCGTCACGTCATTCGGCGACATAGTCGGGCCGCCAACTTCAACTTCAGTCGAAACGTCGCGAACAGGCACCAGTGCAGGTACGCCGCCCGAGCTTGATGCCGCTGGAGTCGAATCTTCATCGTTGTCAATCTCCAGGCGCGTCATTACGTGATCGGGTTCCGTTGTCTCCATGAACTTCACAGTGTGCACGATTTGCACCTTTCCCGTCGCCACGTTGAGAACGCGGTATCCCTTTACACCGTCTTCGTAGCCCAGGAATCGACACTTGAACGCCTCCGCATCCAGCTTCCAACGCTTTTCATCGGCGATGTGGGCGTAGCCGAGTGCACCAAACACCTTCATGTTCTTTAGTTGAGGCTTGGCTCGGTGCAAAATCTCGTGGGGTGCCTTGACGGTCACCGAATTCGGGACCTGGTTCATGATCCAGGCCGCCGTGTTGACAGATTCTGCCCACCACTTCTTGTCAATTCCTTCATGATAGAGCATGAAGCGCGCCATCTCCACCAAACTTCTGTTCATGCGCTCAGCCAATCAATTCTGCTGAGGCGTGTACGGCACCGTCTTCTCGAGCTTGATGCCGTTGCGGCCGAGGTAGGATTTGAACTCCTTGCCTGTGTTCTCGCCGCCATTGTCCGAACACAGGCGCTGGATTGTCTTGTCCGTTGCGTTCTCCATTGCTGCCTTGTAGATCTTGAACTTCGACAGCACCTCCGATTTCGCCTTCATGAAGTACACCGTCACGTGTCTCAAGTAATCGCCGATGAAGGCCACTGCGTATGTGCAGCCTCCAGGTGTCTTGGTCTGCATCGGACCCATGACGTCCGTGTGCACCAAGTCGAGTGCACCTGTACTCTTGACCAAGTTGTCAGGGTGACGTGGGAAGTTACCAGCGCGCATCTTCCCCATGCAACATCCGGTGCACACGTTATCCATCGACACGTCGACTGCGATGCGCGCTAGCCCATCGGCCATGCTCAACAGCTGTTCGTAGCGCTTGTACGGGATGTGGCCGAGGCGGGCGTGCACGACAGCCCATGGCTCCTTACGAGATGTCGTCGCCGCACGACACACCTCGTCCTCCACTGTTTTCAGCTTGTAGACATTTCCACAGCGCTTGGCCTCCATCACCGTCAAGCCACCAAAGCGAACGTCACACTTGTCCTTGCTGAATTGCGCGCCGACGTCCCTCTCGGCCAGCTTCGACACCGAGATGAGGCTCCCATCAACTTCCGGGATGTACAGAACATCCGACAATGTGACGTCCATCCCGTCGATCAGCGTCAATCCGACGGTGCCCTTTGCAACTGCGTCGATCTTCGTGCCATCCGCGATCGTGATGCGGACCGACGTCTTCTGCTCCTTCATGGATACGAACTTGTCCCGGACGCTGGTCATGTGCGAGCTGGCACCGGAGTTCACAAGCCACTCCGACTTCGCCATTACACCCGTAGCCGTGAACGTGAAGTCTGACGCTTCCTGCGTGACTTGTCCACGTCCCTCATCGGCCTTCTTCTTGCGGCACTCTTGCTCCTTGTGCCCGAGCTTCTTGTAGTAGAAGCACTTCCTGGAGAACCCGCGCATGCGGAACTCCTTCTTCGTTGCGAATGCCTTCTCCTGAGCCGATGCCGAATCCTTCGAGACTTCAACACCAGACAGAGCTTGGATCGCGCACGCCAACGTCATGTTCGGCGTGTTCTCGAGTACGGTGCTGATCATCCGGTATTCGTCCGTCAAACTGTCCAGCAGCACCAGTCTCGTCCAGAGCTTCACCAATCGTCTGCATTTGCAGCACCAGCTCCTTGAACCGATCCACATATGCCGCGAACCGCGTCCCGGGCTCCATCTTGAAGTTGTGCAACTCCTTGGTTACGACGAGTCTATTCTTGAGAGTGTTCCGGTTGAACTGCTCCTCAAGCAGGCACCACGATTTAGCAGCGGTTGTCGCTCCACAGATGTAGACTTGGTATGTAAGACTCACGTCCCCAGCGATCACACCAAGGGCCTTCAGATTGTCGGTCTTCCATTATACCGTGGAGCGGTCACTCAGATGGTCGAACTCTGGCTTGACGATGTGGGCCAGCAGTCTCTTGCGCGACAGCATCATCCGCATGTTGAACTCCCAGTGGGAGTAGTTGCCTTCCACGAGCTTCACGGTGTCTGCGTAGCTTGGGCTCATAACCACTTAAGATTATGCGGGCGAGGCTTGGTTGTTGAGTGTTGGTTAGGAGAGAAATCCGAAAGTGAATTAGAATGAGTTAGGCCAAACTAACTATCATATCCTAGTCTCCTATGCTTAAACATGAATCGTACCAACGCCAGTATTAGAGGCTGGGGATCAAAAAGTAAATGTTGCAGATCGTGTCCAGAAAGGCAACTTCAACTTGCCTTTCTCTCAGCCAATCAGAAGCGTCAAATCTTGGGGCTCCGCCAATCAGATCCCAGTATTCCACCACGTGTACCACAATTGCCTACCATCGGCAACAACTTCACAGCAAGCACGTGCCTCGATACGGAGACACACAACTAGACTGCGAAGTGTACAATCGCAACACCTAACATAGGCATCAGACCATGACAGCGTGCGGCGGTGTACAGCAGCGCAGCGCAGTAGGTGCGTACTGCTGGTGATGCATGCGGTTCTATTGGGGGTACTAACTATGGGCTTTATTTTCGTTCCTACAGCTTACCTGGCGGCGGGCAGCACGGCCGCGGCGGCGGCGAGGAGTAGCTTAGGTTCGGGGCAACGTTGCGCGCGGAAATGTGCTACTGGTGCTATTTGCGG